TACTGACCCCGAACTTTTGAACTGTATTGCATGTAAAGTCGTAACTTAAGGAAAGATGAGGTCAGATGGTCATTTTATTGAGTACCTCAATAGTGGGGTCATATTCATCCACAAAGTGATTCTGAATAAGCTGGATGGTTAATGCGCTCTTCCCAACACCACCTGCTCCCACAACAACCAACTTATACTCGGTCATCTTCCAGTCCTCAGAGAACACCTGTGATCAAGACAAAGAGAGTGCAAACGCATATATTAATAACACAATATTCACAGAAAGCTTGACATACAATTCAAAACTTAATAACATTTGTGTAACTATATCATTAAAAACATTTTAAATGCATGTGTGTGTATGTATTGGTTCATTCCTTTTTTGAGAGAAAGAGAAAATCAGAAATAAGCTACACTACCGTTCAAAGGTTTAGTGTTGGTAAGATTTACAATATTTTGAAAGTCTCTTATGCTCACAAAGTCTGCATTCATTTGATTAAAATGACAGTTTAATACAATACAATAAAATACAGGATCAGTGTCACATGATCCTTCAGAAATCTATTTTGTAACATTAATGATTTCTTTACTGTCACTTTTGATCAATTGCTGCATCCTTGCTGAATAAAAATAATTTATTTAAAAATCGTACTGACCTCAAACTATTGAACAGTACTGTATAATCAAATAACTGTGACTGGTCCAGCTGATTCATCCCTAAAATCACTGAGAAAAGTAAAACGCACCACCTGACAGCCGCCCGTGCATGTCTTCGACAGTCGTCTGGGTGACTTGCACTGAGTTTACAGACAGTATATTGAACAGTGAATAATATAATTATTTACTTTCTTTCTCATATTTTTATGACTTATATTGGAAGCTATTCTGTTTCTCTAAGAAAGCACTCCCATCTGCAAACAGTAGCCCTGCAATCTATTTTATAGAATGGATAAATGTCAGTCATTCTCAGAGTACAGCCAGGAAAAAAATTAACCTGAGAGAAGAGCACAGGTCACTGACCCCTGAACCGTTTTTACTAGCTCAACCTAAACCTGAGACAGACTTCAGGTCAAAGCATCTATTTTACAAATAAACAATTCAAACGAGTGATTCATCTGCACATGTTCCAAGGAAAAAAAAAAAAGTTGTCTTTGTAATCATTTGTCAAAATTAAATAACATGTTCTTCCTCTTCAGCAACTTTCCTTTCCCACTGACGTCACTTATGCTGATGCTGCTACTGAAAATAGCTTTTAGTTTAAGAAACTCACATACAGTCTGGTTGCATTCTTTTAAGAACCACCAACATCCATTTGTGTGTGTGTGTGTGTGTATGTATATATATGTATATATATATATATATATACACTCACCGGCCACTTTATTAGGTACCCCATGCTAGTAACGGGTTGGACCCCCTTTTGCCTTCAGAACTGCCTCAATTCTTCGTGGCATAGATTCAACAAGGTGCTGGAAGCATTCCTCAGGGAGTTTGGTCCATATTGACATGATGGCATCACACAGTTGCCGCAGATTTGTCGGCTGCACATCCATGATGCGAATCTCCCGTTCCACCACATCCCAAAGATGCTCTATTGGGTTGAGATCTGGTGACTGTGGAGGCCATTTTAGTACAGTGAACTCATTGTCATGTTCAAGAAACCAATTTGAAATGATTAGAGCTTTGTGACATGGTGGAAGTAGCCATCAGAGGATGGGTACATGGTGGCCATAAAGGGATGGACATGGTCAGAAACAATGCTCAGGTAGGCCGTGGCATTTAAACGATGCCCAATTGGCACTAAGGGGCCTAAAGTGTGCCAGGAAAACATCCCCCACACCATTACACCACCACCACCAGCCTGCACAGTGGTAACAAGGCATGATGGTTCCATGTTCTCATTCTGTTTACGCCAAATTCTGACTCTAACATCTGAATGTCTCAACAGAAATCGAGACTCATCAGACCAGGCAACATTTTTCCAGTCTTCAACTGTTCAATTTTGGTGAGCTCTTGCAAATTGTAGCCTCTTTTTCCTATTTGTAGTGGAGATGAGTGGTACCCGGTGGAGTCTTCTGCTGTTGTAGCCCATCCGCCTCAAGGTTGTGCTTGTTGTGGCTTCACAAATGCTTTGCTGCATACCTCGGTTGTAACGAGTGGTTATTTCAGTCACTGTTGCCCTTCTATCAGCTCGAACCAGTCTGGCCATTCTCCTCTGACCTCTGGCATCAACAAGGCATTTCCGCCCACAGAACTGCCGCTCACTGGATGTTTTTTCTTTTTCGGACCATTCTCTGTAAACCCTAGAGATGGTTGTGCGTGAAAATCCCAGTAGATTAGCAGTTTCTGAAATACTCAGACCAGCCCTTCTGGCACCAACAATCATGCCACGTTCAAAGTCACTCAAATCACCTTTCTTCCCCATACTGATGCTCGGTTTGAACTGCAGGAGATTGTCTTGACCATGTCTACATGCCTAAATGCACTGAGTTGCCGCCATGTGATTGGCTGCTTAGAAATTAAGTGTTAACGAGCAGTTGGACAGGTGTACCTAATAAAGTGGCCGGTGAGTGTATATATATATATTAAAAAACTTCCCACCCTCTAATTTTTTCTTGTTGAATATAAAAGTAAAATACACATTATAGAAGTAAAATGGGTTGTGAGCAGCGGGGCATGTGAATTAAAAAAAAAATATGTACACAGATAAATAATTTATGCTGCAATATTCAATAAAAAATAAGAATTGTCAGGATAATAATTGAGGGCAAATATCAATCTCTTTTTTTTCTTAAAGAAATAGTTCACCTTATTCTGTCATTTAGGGAGAATGGCAGTTACCATTCACTTTCATTGCATTGCACTGGCAATTTTAAACTCGAATGTTGTTGTGCTCTATGTAAAAATGCACTTTCAACTGGTATGAATGTTTCATACCATCCCATTGCCTTGCCTGTGGCTTTCATGCTCTCATAACAAGAGAGAATGTTCCCCGGGTGGTTTAAGATTTGAACAAACATAGTGATTTAAAACTAACAGTATTGAGATGTTTGTGGTGGAATAAACCATCAAATTAGGTCAAAACCCTCAAAAGAAAATGTATGTTGCTCAATAGTAAATACCTGGAAAAGGAAACTTCAAGGATCATCTAAGTATACATTTGACACGTTATTAAAACAGACAACATTAAAGAGCCTTAGACTTCATGTATTCTTCTTGTGCCAAAATGCTGTCTATGTAGACAGTTCACTGGATTTGAGGGACAGCCTTTATGTCGCACAAAGAAGCATTTATACCTAGTGTTTACAGGTAGCAATACACATGAAAATGCATGTAAACACCCGAGGACGGTAATAAATATGAAGCAGAGGGTTTATACTGCGTGGAGAAGGAAACTCACCGCTTACTCTGCAGTTCTGCGACCTCTGGCTGATCTGATCAACAGGGCTCCGCTAATTACTGCTCTCTCGCCCAAAATAATGCCATGGGGAGCACTTTACAAGTCGCTTCACACTCGTCTGGAAGCAATGTAACCCCTACGAACAGGATTAGTTAGGAGGCTATAGATTCAGCTTGTAAAAACAGCAGTTAAAGAAGTCTGTCTAAAGTTTTGAATAAGAGTTGACCAAGCAGCTTCCCCCAGAACTTCACGATTCAGAGCGACTTCCGGCTTCAGAATTCCACAAATCATGTCAAAATAAAAGTCCAGCCGCTGTGGCTGCACGTAGATATTTACACGTAGATTCACATTCGACCCTCGACCGCTCGAGCTCCAGACACGTCGGGGGCCCGCCATCTTGGAACGGTCAAGTTGTCGCCGTAACACACAGTAAGAATTAATAATGCCACAACATTGTGCAGCTTCTGGCTGTGAAACCAACTAGATGTATATTCCTGAAAAATGGAATTACATTTAACAGACCTGTGAGAAAGTGTTGGTTTGTGTTTTTATGTTGTAATTCAATATTTCTGTTTTTTTTACTATGGTACAAGTACAACTTATTAATGTTTTTACTTTTACTATGGTTACTTTTTATGTCATGTTAGCTGACGCCTTTGTCTTGTATTGTGTAAGTATAGAAAAAATAATCTGCTGAAGTCTTACATGCGTTACAGACGTTCAGTTAACGGAGTCTTTGACCGTTCCAATATCGCGAGAACGCGGACGCCAGAAACACTTGGAGAAATGAGGCATCTATGTATATAATACATCTATGGTGGCTGCCATGTATGATGTAAGAAATAAAATTAACATAATAAAAGTGCAACAGTAGGGTTTCTGTTCGTATATGACATGAAAATGTTGTATTTTGCACACTTTTATATTTACACATAAATATTTACACATATGTTCTACTTAACATGATACTTACATCTTGATCTTGCATCCAAGTTGAAAAGTTTAAAGATAATATTAGTTTGAAATGAAGGTACCGTACTGTAATAAAAGTTAATTCAGCAAAATGATGTGTAGAGAGAAAGCAAATTATATTATTAAAACTTTAATAGAGTTTGTTCAAAATACACAAACTTCAGCTAAATTAAATGAAGACTTTAGAGCAGTGGCTGAAATTCAAAGCCATTTTGTCTTTGCAAGTAGTAAGTCTGGTCAATTCTCACCACCAGTCAAGTAAAACATAAATGGAATAGTGTGTAATTGTGAATTCTGCAATCACAATTTTTGTAACAATTATTCTCTATTACGCACAAAGTCAAACCAAAACGACATTTTAAAATAAACTATGTACAACAACAGGGGGAAAACATTTATAAAGCATTTGCACAATGTATATTTCACATAAATAAGAGAACTAGCTAAAATACAGACAATTCGCTTAATTCGTATAAAACCTGAATTTAAATAAGACTGTATTTTATACACATTGCATTTACAAATCTATAACAAATGAAATCATTAAAGTTAATTATACAACTAATAGAATGGTTGGAAAAACTGCATGAATACAATCTCTGTCTTATTGTGCCACACTCCAAAATGTGTCGGAAAATACCATTATTTCTTGCGAAAGGTGCTTCTTTCCCAGTCAAATTATTCTAGGAATTTTGGCAGTACACTGCATCCATACCAAGTGACAATGACTTCTATTGGTTCCCTGCAGGGGGAAAAACATCAACAAATACATGACAAATACTGAGTACAGCTGTTACAGTAGCTGCGCTTCACAACGAGAAATCTCTTTCCTCCTGGAAACCAATGATCTAAGTCCCTTATTCTTAATCGCAGTCCGTGCTGTGTTCATTATTGATGACCTGGACAGAAGCAGCGTGGTAAACCGTCAAGCTCCAGGGGAGGGGCTGGTAAATAAGACAGGAAACAGATGATTCGATTTGGGAGGCCCAGTTGAGTCAACACCCCCAGCGCCCTTTTCCCGAGGGTATTTCTGAGAGCAATTCTGCATAACTGCTGAAGACTGAGGGGTGTGGCTGAAAGACAGCAAGCATTTTTTTAATTCTTACAATTTACTATGACTTTAAAGCCGTAATATTATTTTTTATTATTTAATATTAAGTTTTCTTGTGACAAAAAGAAAAGAAAGACAGGTCATTGTTTGCCGCGGTGTCTTGAAGAAAAACACACATCCCTTAATTTTAGCAGTTTAGTTTCAATAAATGATCTGGTCGGACTTGAAAGTTTTGATAGTTAAATGGAGTTCTGAATGTTAGACCAAGTTTCATAGTACAATGAAACCTCAAAAGAGCAGGGAAAATTGTATGTCTTATAATATGACCCCTTTAAAAACAACATCTTCCATCACCATAACAGTTCAAAAACGTATAAACGGAGTACTTATACTTACATTCATAAAGCTCCAGGCAGAGGGCAGACGCTGAGCCGGCTCTGGTGTACTGAATGGGCTTTTTGCCGAGGTTGTCTCTGGCTAAAACATTTCCCCCAAATTCTACCAAAAGCTCAATTAGTTCCAGATTTTTCACTTTAGCAGCATGATGTAGTGCGGTCTCATGAAGTTTAGCAGCATTTACATTTGCACCTAAAAACATGAAAGGAATACATAGACATCATAGGAAGAACGTGCACAAAAGTGTATTTTTTATTATGTGCTACAACAAATGAACAAGATATTTCATTCATGTTCCATTTAAAGGACAAGTTCGGTATTTTACTAGCCTGGGAAAACCCAGACAACTTCCGGCAAATTTAGATTTGCTCTGAAAGTTAGTCTGGCAAAGAGCTCATTCAAGCTCATTTCCAATCCGCCGAAATCGCGGCACCAATCAGAAACGTTGGGGCGGGCTTTACACGATGACGACAGCGCTGGGATTTTGAAGCAGATTTTGTAGCCTACATTACAAAGATGGATGCCGCATCCGTCGAACATCACTCGTTCGAATCAGCTATCACGTCTGTTTTAAGCGATTTGAACGTTTCCTTTTTGTTAAAAACCGAGGAAAGAACAACACTCGGAGATGTTTCTGCCGCTCTGCATACGTCATCTCCTTCATCGCTCTGATTGGTTTTAGGTCTATCCGCGACTCCGTTGGTGACGCCCCTCTAGAAATGATTTGTCTATGACGCTTTGCCAGACCATAACTCAGTTACAACTGAGATGGTCTGGTTTTAACCAGGCTAGTATTTTACACTTAAAGCCCTGTTTTAAGATCGTTTCTGATGAAATAGAACAGTTAAAGGATTAGTTCACTTTTTAAAAAACTTTTGCTGATAATTTACTCACCCCCATGTCATCCAAGATGTCCATGTCTTTCTTTCTTCAGTCGAAAAAAAATCAATGGTAGCCAAACGGTTCAAGGTCTAAATGACCGTTTCAGTTCAGCTTCAAAGGGCTTTAAACGATACCAGACGATGAATAAGGGTCTTATCTAGAGAAACGATCTGTCATTTCAAAAATAAATAAAAAAGTTAAATTGTTATAGGCACAAATGCTCGCCTTGCGAACTCTCCTGTTCGAACTCGTACATCAAAATGAAAGAATCTTTTTTCGAGTCATTGACTCGTTCATCAAAATGAACGAATCTTTTTTCGAGTCATTGACTCGAAAAAAGATTTGTTCATTTTGATGAACGAGTTCGAACAGGAGAGTTCGCAAGGCGAGCTTTTTTAAAAGTGAACTAATCCTTTAAGATTGAAATTTGGACACATGCTGCTGGCCCGAGAATTTTCGGTTTCTGTGGTTGCACCCCCCCACCTCCACAATGGTTGCATAGGTGCACTGGAACAATCCTTCATAAAACGCATTCAACTTTAGTTTGCAAAGACGTGAAACTCACCGAGTGGTCTGGGGTGTTCACTGATATGCTCACACAAAAATCGCTGCAAAAGATGCTTTCCAACAGGTTTTATCGTAGTTTTTGTCCAAGTCAAGTCAATGGAGTTGGACAAAAACGAGATCTCTTCTCGGATGATGTGTTTACTGGCGTGAGGGCGGGGCAACCTGTCACTCACATGAGGTCGACCAATAGCAAACCATCCAATCAATTCCCATTGGTCTCTCCCTCCATTTTTGTCTTGTTCAAGAAGCCATTTTTAAACTCAGATATGTCACAATATGGAAGAAAAGACTATCACAACTTCTGTTTCATGCCGACTTTAACAGATGAGACCTTATTATAAAATGTTACCAGTATTCCAAATAAAAAATAAACACAAAAAAACGGGAAATGCAGAAACTCACCAGCATTCAGCAGAACCTTGACACAGCCGAGATGCTGCCTTGCACACGCCACATGCAGAGGGGTGCCAAAGTGACAGTCATGGGCTTCCATAAACGCACCTTCATCAATCATGAGCTGAACACATTTAGAGTTACCTGGCAGACAAATAAAAAAGTCATTTTTAATCATTCTGAAAGAATTTGTCTTTGAATAATATTCATTGTTTTTCTCTCATCAAATATCAAATTTTAGACAACTTTCATCGTTTATAATATCTTCATTAAGTAATAATAATTAAGTTACAGCTGTGTTCAACTGCTCGTTAATGCATCTAATCAGCCAATCACATGACTGCAACTCAATGCATTTAGGAATGTAGACCTAGGATGCATCCGAAATCGCATACTTCCCTACTATATAGTAGGCGAAAAACACACCTTACTATCCCATGAGACCACGGGAGAAGATTTATGAATGGCAGTGAAGCGACGTAACTGACTCTGGTAGGTCACATGATAATGAAAACATGACGAATGTAGTATGTCCTGATTACATTCATACTACACACACTAATACTATATAGATCATACTTTTTTAGCGGTCGTGAAGCGTACCTACTCTAGAGTATATAGAGTATGCAATTTCGGATGCAGCCACTGTCAAGACGAACTGCTGAAGTTCAAACTGAGTGGAACGGGAGATTCGCATCATGGATGTGCAGCCGACAAATCTGCAGCAACTGCGTGATGCTATCATGTCAATATGGACAGACATCTCTTAGGGATGTTTCCAGCACCTTGCTGAATCTATGCCATGAAGAACAGTTCTAAAAGCAAAAGTGGGTCCAACCCAATACTAGCAAGGTGTATCTAATAAAGTGGCCAGTGAGTGTATATCCAACTTTATATAAAGAGCTGTATTTGCTGGTATATATATAGTATCGCTTTATGTGAGTATGTATGCTGTATATATGCAGGCATTGTATCTATGCTGTATATTGACAGCCTTAATAAACATACATAAACGACCCTAGGTTAAATCAAGCATCAGGTCACCTTACCGCCCATGCAGGCTTCATGCAGGGGTGAGAAGGTGAAGAGGGGAGGGTTCACCATGGCTCCATGTTCTAACAGCAACTTCACACACTCCAGACTACCAGCAGCACAGGCGTCACACAATGGAGTACTGCCGTCAATGTTACGAGCATCAACCTGTTGACAATGACACTAGCAAATAAACAACTGATGTGACAGATTCAAGAGGCCTACAGTATGGAGGAGCTCCTTACATGAGCTCCAGCATCCAGGAGCAGCTTCACACACTGTGTTTGGCCCTGTATACAGGCCTCATGGAGGGGTGTGATAGAGTCCACGGCCACAATGTTGACAGATGCTCCGTTCTCAATCAGTTTTTGGAGCTGCACAGCTCTGCCCTGAGCCGCGGCCTCATGCACTGCTGAACGATCAGTCCAGAACCCCAGACCATGTGCTGTGGGTAGAATGAGACGGACAGAATTCCAAAATATGTGTTTATGGTAGTTATGAGTGATTTCCAAATGATCCATCAGTAATATTAAAGGGTTAGTTCACCCAAAAGTGAAAATTCTGTCATTAATTACTCACCCTCATGTCGTTCCGGACCCGTCAAACTTTCGTTCATCTTCGGAACACAAATGAAGATCTTTTTGATGAAATCTGAAATTTCCGTCCTTCCATTGACAGCAACGCAATTGACATTTTGACGCTTTAAAAAGTTTATAAAGAGATCGTAAAACTTAATCATATGAATTGAGTGGCTTAGTCCAAATTTTCTGAAGAGACTCGATCGCTTTACATGACGAAAATATGGAATTTAGACTTTTATTCACATATAAACATTCATCAACTCACACATCAGATCTGGTAAACAGAAGCTCATGCATGTTCGCTGATGAACCAATGAGGTTCATTCTCGTGTTACGCAGCACGTTTGAACTCGCGCGTCAAGCAGATTCGGTTGAGCTTCTGTTTGTGTTCACTGATCAATGTTTAAATGTGAATAAAAAGCCTAAATTCAATTTGCTCATTATATAAAGCGGTCGAGTCTCTTCAGAAAATTCGGACTAAAGCACTTAATTCATATGGGTTAGTGTTAAGATCTCTTTATGAACTTTTTGAAGCGTCAAATTGGTAGTTGCGTAGCTGTGAATGGAGCGATAGAAAGCTCTCAATTTCATTAAAAACATCTCCATTTGTGTTCCGAAGATGAACGAAAGTCTTACAGGTTTGGAACAACATGAGGGTGAGTAATGACAGAGTTTTCATTTTTGGGTGAACTATCCCTTTAAGTGTAAAAAGTAAATGGGTAAAAAGTGCAATTTGTACACAAAAGGGAATTGCAAAAATATCATACAGTATAGTGATTTTGTATTTAGTTCTATTTAAGTCGTGTTGTTGTACTCCATTTGAAGATGTAGAGAGGTAATCTATTCTACAGCATTCTAGGAAAGGACGTTTTGGACATTATCATGTAACTTAACAGCCTGGTGTCAAAACCATTTATTTATTCCAGTGAACAGAATGGGGACAGTTAAAAAGGACATGCACAGGACAGTGAAACTGACTCATCTAACTTACGTGTTGACTCAGGTCACACTGATCCAGGGCTTTAGTAACCTGCTAATTGTCATTGGTGACTGATTCAAGGCCAAACAGCATGTGATCACACAACAGTTCTGGCAGCAATATTTGTCATCTAGCCTTGGTCTGCACAATTATATTAAAACGTGTCATATAGTTACAGTTAACTGTCAGTCAAATGATTACCAGACTGCTGGTTAATTGCAGTGTAACATCTTGTAATCTGCATGTAAACTTACCAATATCCCCAAACAGCGATGGTCTTGTGCGCGTTATTTCAAATTCCATAATTTATTCCAAATCATAAGAGAATAAAGAATATATGCGTCACATATCTAAGATTCATGAGGGTATCGTCAGCCATAGTTTACAAACACTAGACCCTTTTTCAATCGACTGGCGAATGATGCTGTCGGTTCTTCCGTGGAGACATAACATTGTCGTGCAGGGGGCGCAATTTGGCTCAAAAATACTAATTCTCGTTAAATCACATTTAAATATCAAGGAGTTTTATCGTCTTATTGGATTTGTTTGTACATTAAACTGGTGATAGTTAAAAAAAGTACATTTCAAGGATCGGTATCTGACATATAAATTCGCAGCCGCGCGAGCAATCTGTATAAAATGAGAAAATAAAAATAGTTATCGAATAAGCACAAACGTCTGTGATTGGTCTATCTTCACCAGCGCTGAAAAAAGTAATAGTTGCCACGTGACAACTCACGTCTACTTCGGCTGAGGTCTAAAGGATAATTTCTATCTGAATAATGTCGTTCATAAAATTTACTAGTAACTGAATTGAGAAAGTGAAAGAAAATAGTTGAAATAGCAGGTTTTTTTTAAGACCAAGGAGCTTATTGAACCCATCGTATCTGACCAATTAGAGAAAACGTTGTGGCTGCCAAGCTCCGCCCATTTAGAGATTTCTCTCTGGTTTATCATTAGCAGGTCTGATTGAATTTCTGATCAGTGTAAGCACGACGACGGCGACGCTCTTTGGACTCTGGAAATAAAGACTAAACAATGCCTTTGGCATATTTTCCTTCACCAGCTAGTTTATTTCATGTGCAAAGCAACGATGCATATCAAGCAAAGACGCATATAAAAAGTACATAGGCTACATTGACTCTCATTTTGAGCAACATAAACATTACCTAAACATTCCGTAGTACCATTCACATCGACAACAACGACAAAAGCATTGTATGAACGTTTTCATCATTTTCAAAATAATCAGTATGTTTTCAGTCACAGTTTTCAGTTTATCATAAAATGTCTCAAAAAGTTTCCTTAATCCTTCAAGCGGCTTCAGTAGGGATGATGAAAGTGAAACTGAAATGTCTTCAAAACAAGTTCAGGGGCTGGTTGCATAAACATTATGTTAAGACAGTGTCTTAAGTTCTAGTTTGACCCACTAGCAGTTAGTCAGGGGCAGTCAGTCTTACTTTTCGGTATCAAATTAGGCCACTCTACATTTTTATGTAGGCTAACTGATTTAAAAAAGCAATGAAAAGGCTTAAAGAAAAAAATGTATGTCTAATTAAGATGAGTCTTAGTGGTTTATGCAACCAGCCCCAGGTGAAATATACCAGACGTACCAACAATATTTTCAAGTGTACAAGTGGGTCAAGAAGATTGAGACCACATTGGATCCAGAAATGTAAATAGGCATTTCATATTTAACAAAGTTACGATGTAAAATAAAGAAGAAATAAATCAAGATGCTAATCAAAGAAGCAACTGTGCCCATAGCAGTGCACAAGATGTTCTTTGGAACATTTCTAAATCATGCTGGATAGCATGTTCATCAGTTGAAGTTTGCTCAAGTGCACATTTATGTTTTTTTTCCTCTTTTTTTCAGCTTTCAATCATATTTTCATGCTGGAAAAAAAAATCACAAGACATTTTCACCAGCTGATCCTTCCTGGTTTTACATTCCTACATACATAAAAAAAAAGAAACATTCATTTAAAGGAATATCACCCAAAATGACAAATCTGTCATTCACTCTTCTTCATCATGTTGTTCCTAAAGAATGTTTTTTTTGTTCTTCTGTAAAACACGAAATTTCAATTGCTAGAAGAACTAAACAATTCTTGCCATACATTGCTTGTTGGATCTTGAGGGTGAGTAAATAATGACAGAATTGTCATTTTTTGGGTGAGCTATTCGTTTAAAGTGGAGCAGCATTACAATGACCGAAGCACTTCTGTGAACCACTGAACAACAAAAGCAACAAAGTAGAGCTGCACGATTAATCGGTAAAAGATTGTGATTCAAATACCCAGGCGATCTTTTTCCTAAAATGACATCGAATCGGCTATGTCTATAGATAATGTGAAACTGGTTCACACTGCGTTGCATGCTGGGGCGGTGCCACCATTTTGGGAGGATTACCCTCTGCTACTAATCCTTTGCCAAGTATGATCACAGCGAACATTCAAATCTGTGTTCGTGCTTCCGCACTTTCCGCTGACCCAGAGAAAGCAGTTGTCATGTATTGCTTCACAAACGGTCTTTTCAACCACACAGTATCATTAATTCTGTGTTACAGTAATTCAAGTTATCACGGAAGTACTAGGATAAAAGTTTTTAGTTCAGATATAAACGCTTATGTCTACAGTAGCAATCAAAAAAGAGTAAATCACCTTTTAAAAGTAACTCAATGCTTCAAATAAAGAATGTATCAATTACATACTTTCACCAGTAGGTGGCGACAAGTGAATGTTAAATTTATTGGTCATTGAATCATTCGTGATTTGTTTAAAAATGCTGATTCATCAATTAATGAACCAAGTGAAGTCTTTAAGAGTGAGTCATTGAATCATTCATTTTAAATAGACTGCAGCAATTAACATTTTGTCAGAACCTCTAGTTAATTACGCTATTTTGTTTAGTTGTCTTTTCAGAATCATGGGAGAATCGTGATTTCTATTTTGAACAAAAAAATCGTGATTCTCAATTTGTCCAGAATCGTGCAGCTCTACAACAAAGAGCTAAAATCCCAACACTAGCATTGTGCTGGCCAGACGTATCCATTAAAGCAACTAAACATCAGTGGAGCGGAGATGGTCAAGACTGTGAGAAAAGTCTGTGTCGCTGGGAGCGAGTTGAGGCTGGGAATGGTGCCGCTGTCGATCTTTTGACTGAGAGACGTGGCTTGTGTGCGAGAGTGAGGGGAGAGAGCTGTACGGCCCTTCTTTTTGACCCTCCTCCTTCAAAAGCTGCTCCTGATTGGGCACCGGGGTCCACGGTTGCCACGAATCTACAGTGGAGCAGCTCTTCGTCAGCTGAGGCTTCCTCTGCGCAGAAAAGACTTTGCCGGAAGAGCGGAACTGTCAATCAAGAGAAGACGACTATGAGACTTTTTTTAAGGTGCACATTTTTTGGAGAGAATTGAAAAATTATTTACAAAATGAAGCTAGAATTGTTGTTAATTTTGTAGAAGCTGATGTGATGTTAAGGCGTTTTACATTGGATGGTGATATAGTATTTATATTTGATATAATAATTACAATTTCTAGTTATTACACTCAGTGGGGTTCTATACATAGACAGTATAAGAGGTTCTATATAGACCTTATGTAGCTCCGCCTCTGTTGTGTTTGGTTTTCCGGCTTGTATTTCCACAGCATGAAGCTAAGATCTTACGGATTGATAATGAACCGCTCATTTTAAAATCTTTAAAATATCTGCTTCAAACATTACAATGCTCATGATAACTTTCGGTAACTCTACAATAAGTGAATCCACTTGCAGCTAATTATTCTTCGACGGCGATGCCATAGAAATATACAGAGCTACCACAAAAACAAAAGTTCAAAGGCAAAATTCTAAAGACTCAATTTTAAAGAACACTTTATGCCAAAAAAGGTTCTATATAAGGAGAAATGTCTTAATGGTTTCATAATACTTTCATGTTTAACAGGTTTTCAATTTGTTATATAGTAAAAGTGTTTACAAGTTCATAACATTTATTCAAAATAAAAAAATGAATTAAAACAAGATTAATTATTTAATAATAAATCCATAAAATGATCCCATGATGGGAACCCTAAAAGGCCTGACAGAACCCTTTACGGTTCTATATAGAACCTTTTCTTCTAAGAGTGTATATTCACAAAGCCAGATGGAATGAAAAACTGAAAACTGTTTGAATTAAAACTGACATCAAAACATATTTGGTAACAATATCTGAAAGTACAAACTTGAAAGCAATACAAAACATGCCACTGGAACTTTTTCTGTCATTTTTGATCTTACCCTGACATGTACTCTTATTTGTACAATGCTTGGTTCTCAAAAAAACTGTACGAACTGCTAAAACAAATTTTTTTTTGACAGCTACCTGAAAGATCAAAATCAGTGATGTCATTGATGACTGTGATCTAATCCATATCATCTGATATTATATTTAAAGGACATTTTTACCTTAGATGGCCCTCTAAAGTCTTCAATTTTTGAGGAAATATCCATGATCCAGCCCTTCATGTCTTCTGGAGTGTCTGGCTGCATGTAAACAGAACATGAACAGGTTAAGTTGACAAGATGTTTTAGTTGAGCTATTATGATATACTGTATAGAAGGATCTAAGGATTCTCAATAGCAACCTGTGTGTGTTACTTTGAGAGAGCAACCATAGAATTATTTATAATCATTAGTGATTTATGTAGTTATCATTTGATTTTATTCATATTATTGTTTGATTTACCTTACCTTCCTTTCAACAAATTTCCTTCCTTTTGATTTACATAATTTATCATTTTAATATTATTATTGATTCATGTCATTTTATGTTTCCATATTTTATATTACTTATTATTTTACCTACTTCCTTGCTCTTGCAATGCTTGCTACCGTTGTTTAATCTTACGATTGTGTGGTTTGAACTTTGAAGGGATTTTTGTTTTCATGTGTAAGAGATCAGAGAATGTCTCCAAAATTTTCAAGGTTTTTAACATCACAGGACGATGTTGTGCAGTAGTAATATTCCATTGTTTTTGCTGTGGTGTAACAACACTTGTTCAATCAACATTCAGACAAAGTATGAGCATTGAAACATATGCAACTAAGATTATTCGATAAACTCTGCTCTTTTAATTATCATCACTTCACCTCATGCTTCTGCACTTCCCTTGTTTTCTCAGTCAAACTCGGGCTGAGACTGGAAGACTGATATCTATTGGCAGGGATTCTGCGTCTGGGGTCGGATCTAATATATCTAATATATCTGATATTTCTGACATGGAGATCCATCTGATGTAACATTTATGTATTTAAAAATTATGATTTGACTAATTGACCTGATTTATAGTCCACAGACCTGATGGCTTTGTTTACCAATAACATAAAATGAATAATTCACCACGTCATCATTTACACTGCACACATATTTACTACTCGTTTAGTTTCAAACCCATGT